CGCTACCTTCTCCTGCAGCATGTGCTTCCTCTGCTGGCGGATCTTCCTCACCAGGTGGGCCAGGTCGGGGATGCTGTTGCCGGCCTCCACCTCCTGCATGGCCGCGTACAAGAGGCAGAAGGCGCCCGAGCGGCCTACGCCAGAGCTGTTCGGGGAGGGAGAGGAGGAGGAGGAAAGGGGGGATGAGGCAGCTGAGCGAGAGAGCCCACCATGGATCCACTCCCCCCTTCTCTTCTACACAGCCCCTGCCCCCAAGTCTCTTCCTGTCAACCTTCATTTCTTCAAGGATTTGGACTCGTTCATGGAGGAACGGGGGTGCCAAGAGGGGAGCCCGGAATGACACTCCCTGCCTTGAATTCCCAGGCACAAGCGGGCAGCCAGCCCGCCAGCCCCTGAGAACCCAGCTGGCAGGAGCGTCGCCCACGTTGGGGGAGAAAAAAAACCCCCACGAGACCGGATGGGGGCTGAAGACTCCCCTAGGGTCCATCCCCGGGGACGCTGCCCACTTTCTGCCCCTTTCGGCCATGTCTTACCTGCAGTGGACCACGATGGGCATGTGAAGAGGCCGCTGGTGGAGGTAGTGGCTGTGCACCTCCTGGATGAAGCGGAGCAGGTCCCCTTTGCTGTCAGGGAGGCCCCTGGAGGAAGGAAAGGCAGGAGGAGGTCGGTGCCCGGCATTTCAAAAGGTTTGGGTCAGGAGAGTCAGCAGAGCATCATCTGCTCCACCCCACGGAGCCTCCAGTGGCAGCAAACAGAGGGCAAGAAGCCCCTCCGAGCAGAAGAAGCAAGCCCTGCAACCCCCCTGGGCCCCTCCCCACGCAAGCCGAGCCCCCAAGGGGAAGGGGTTCAACAGAAGCCCTGACAGGTCTCCCCTCCCCACCCCTCCATTGCTCCCCCCTGGAAGGGGGACCCACATGAGCACCTACAGCTCAGGCCAGGAGGAGAACTGCAGGTGGATGACGGTGCGCTTCAGGCTCTGGTCGCGGAACTGGAGGGTGATCATCCGCTCTGTGTGGGTTGGGGTGACCTTCAGGCTGGTCAGGACCAGAGTGAGGGGACCGTGGACGATCGGCTGGCCCCGCTCCGTGGGCAAGTACCAGACCACCTTTTGCTGTGAAGCAAGGAGGAGAGAAAAGGTTACCGGCTGGGCAGGGCGTCCCAAAGGAAAACTCTTCTCAGAGCCCCTGGTTTCCGTCCTCATCTGGGCACGGCCAGGTCACACTCCTCCTGAGCCAAAGAAAACAAGTCACGTCGGAGCCAGAGGTGGGAAACTGGTGGAAACCCCTGAACTGCAGCCCAGGGACCCAACAGGCCGCTCATGTCGGAAAAGAGCAACGCTCTCCCGCCCTAATCGTGGTTCCTGGAAGGTTCTAACTCCCCAGCCTAAGAAGGAGGGAGCTCAATCATAGAAAACAACATAAAACGTGGTCCAGTACACAGCAGGACCCCTGTATCCGCGGGATCAGTCTCCTCTGATTCACTTATCCATGGTCTGAAAATACTAAAAATATGAAAAGAAAAATCCTAGAAAGGTCTATTTCTAAAGATGATATTACCAGAATTGGCTACGAGAGGGAGCAAGAGACCATGCCATGTATTGTGTTGGTGATAAATCCGTGTTTTCCAGCATCCTCAGGTTTGCTCTGAACAGATCCCCTACAGATTTTGGGGGGTGGGTGGGTGGGGTGTTTCCCTTCCGTCCTG